AGTGTGGCTTTCATCTGTATATAATAAAATTTGTTTCCTATACTTTGTTTATTTTTTTATTCCAAAACGTAATCTACTTTCTGGATAGCCCTCGTAGTAATTCCAGAGCACTTTTCAAAAACACTAAAAGAAAAGAAATTTTTGCTGTAGTACAGTGAAGCGCAGACAGAGAATTCTAATTTCTTTTCCACCCTTAGAAATCTGGACTTCATGGCTGATGGAACTTTTAAAGCAACACCACCGCCTTTTAGCCAGATTTATACAATCCATGGTTTCAAATATGATAATGTGATACCTTCAGTACATGTACTGATGCTAATTAAGCGCGAAAAAACATACAATAGAGTGTTTACGGTGATAAAATCTTGATTTTGAAAAGGCTGCCATAAATGCCTTTACAGATTCCTTTCAGAATATCATTCAGAGAGGATTTTTTCTTTTAAGCCTGTGTGTATGTGGTATAAAGTTCAGTCTGCAGTTTCAGTAATATGAAAATGATCCAGTTCATTTTGAATCTCGCACTTGCAGTTGGGTACGTTCCTCCTTCTAGTCATGAGGATTGAACATTAATTCACTACTTATTTTGTAATATATGAACATCATTCAGTCAATCATAAATTATTTTGAAGACACATGGATTGGCAGATTTCAACGTCGTGTTTGACTTCCCTCTTTGAGCTGTATGATGCTGTAAAGATAATTCAAGAAATATTTCAAAGGACCCCTAAATTTTACTTCACAGGTGCAACTGGAATTACAGACCATTGAGGTATAATTCAGGCTCAGGATGGAGACCTCGCTTTTACAAAAATGCACGCACACAGTCTTCTGTTTCGAAAAACGTAAATCCTTGTCTGTTTGTTTTTGCCCATTCCTGGATCCTGTTCAAAGCGATCTGGAGCTGCCTCTCTACATGTCTCATATCCACCTCGACAGCTAATTGTAGATCATCAACATATAAGATCCTGAAATGGGGGAGGAAGTTTTTAATACAGAATTTATTTTTAGGCTGAACAGAGTTACACTGAGCACACAGCCTTGAGGCACACCCTCTTCTGTTCAAAAACATCAAAAACAGAGCCAATCCTTACTTGAAAAGTTCTAGTGTTCAAGAAATTCTGAATGAAATTGGTAGGTTTGCCGCGCAAGCCACTCTCGTGAAGATCCCGAAGTATACCGTATCTCCATGCCTTATCATAGCTTTCTCTATATCGAAGAAAATCGAGACAAGGTGATTTCTTCTTACAAAAGCTTTCGAATGGATGTCTCTAAGAGGAGCATATTATCTACGGTTGTTTCTCCCCTTTCGAAAACCACTTTGATAAGGCGATATAATATTATTCTTTTCCAAGAAGTAGACTAGGCGGCTGTTTACCATCTTTTCAAACAGTTTGCAAAGGCAACTGGTAAGGGCAATTGGCCGATAGTTGGAGGGATTCCTGGGTCTTTCTTTCCCTGGCTTCGCAATAGGAATTACAACAGCTCTCCTCCATGCACTGGGAAATGTACGCTCCTTCCACACTCTATTGTAAGCGTGAGAAGGGCATTCAGTGACTTATAGGACAGATGCTTTAGCATTTTCATAATTACACGCCATCCAGACCCGGAGAAGACCTATGTGTCTGCAACAAAGCTCTCTTTAATTCAAGCATAGTAAAAGTCTCTATTGTAAGGCTCAAAGTTGGAAGAGTTGAAAGCGATGGGATTTATTCTCAGAGTGTTGCTTGATAGAAAGAAATGCAGGTGAGTAATTTCGGCTGGAAGAAACGGCAGCAAATGTCTCACCAATTAGTATTTGCAATTTCTTCTATGGAGCTAATCACTCGGCCATCTTTTTCCAGAAAGGAAAGTGAGTGGTCTTTATACATTCCGCATGCTTTTTCGAACTCTTTCCCAAACCCGCTTACTAGGCGTAGAGGATGTTATTGAGGACACATATGAAATCCAGGAATCCCTCTGGCTCTGCCTTCTTACTTTCCGTGCATTTGCTTTGGCTCTTTTAAAAGCTATGAGGTTTCGCAGAGTAGGATATCTACGAAAAATTCCCCATGCTTTTTTCTGTTTTTTTCAGTGCTTCATGACAGTCGCGATTCCACCATGGTTTCGAATATTTTAGTATTTTTCCTGATGTTCTAGGAATGGAGAAGCATAGCTGCCTGAATAATAGTAGTTAGTAACAGCTTCCAACAGCGTCATCGATATGCACATCTTCTAAACCATTTCCTCTGTGAGCTCTGCAACGGAAGAGAGAGTTCCCAGTCTGCCCTGTCCAGATAAAACGAGGGACTCTCGACACGGGGTTTGCTCCTCTTCGTGCAAGAGACACAAAATGGGATAATGATCGCTGTTGTACAAGGTCATTTCCGACACTAAAAGTGCAAAATGGCAACAGAGATGGTGAACAGATGGCAAGGATCGAGAGCGTGGAATGTCCTTGAAGGCTCATGGAAGTACGTATCTTGCCCATTATTTAGGAGACAAAGGCTATGATCTTCGATCATCTGCTCAATTTGTCTTCCTCGGCAATTTGTATCTTTTACTTCCCCAGAGCGGACTATGGCCGTTAAAATCTCCTATTATGATAAAAGGCTCAGGCAGCTGCTCTAAAAGACCATTTAAATCTTGCTGATCAATGTGCTCATTTGGAGGCAAATACAAAGAAACGAATGAAACAACAATATCAAAATTTATTTGAGTAGCGACAACTTGGAGGGATGTCGTCAAAGGAAAGTACATTTGAGGGATAATCCAGTGAGGAGAGGAGACCTACACCTCCACTGGCACGCTCACCTGCAAGGTTATCCTTCCTGACGAAAGAAAACCTCCGAAGTTTTGCTGTTGTTCTGGGTTTAGATTTGTTTCCTGTATTGCGAAGCACACAGGATGATGCAACATTTATTATAGATTTGATGTCGAGCAAATTTCGGTGGAAACCGCGACAGTTCCATGACACGAGGGTGGCCATTATGAATGGTTTTTGTTTTTTCCTGTGCTGTTCTTTTGGTTTTTCGTGGAAGTAGATGCCTGGGAACTTCTAGACCCTCTTCTACTTCCATAAGTCTGAATCCGCAGATTCAGAAATCATCTCATCAAAAGAGCTATTGCTGTGACTTCTATTTTTATTGATATTTTATGTGTAGAAGTTTTGGGCTTTACTTTGAATAACTGTTTCTTCTTTTTTGTACTATATGGGTTGCATTTTCTTTTTCTTGTTGGATGTAGACGGTTGGGTTTTATTTGGTAGGGTCTGTGTGCCTATTGATGTTTGGGTGGCAACTGTACGAGATGATTTTAACAGCACTGGCGTATGATGTATTTTGGTCGAAGCTGTGTGCTCTGGACTAATCTTCTGGCTTCGGCATATGAGATGTTCCTCGTAACCTTTGCAGTCTGCACTTCTTTTTCCAATTTCCATTTTGGGCAGAGGCGTGAAAATGCTGGGTGCTCACCCTTGCAATTTATACAAAGAGGCGCAGCGTACAATTTTCAGAATCGTGGCCAATCTGTGTGAGCATCGGGCGCATGTAAGGCTGCCACGACAAGACGTCTTAGAATGGCCGAAACGCTGGCATTGGAAAACATCGCATAGGGTTTGGAATATAAGGTCTTACAGGAATATTTAGATATCCGGCCTTAATATTCTTAGGCAGATCAGGCGTGTTGAAGGTAAGGATCACGTGTTTCGTATCTATCAACTTACCTTCTTTACGCATCTTGATCCGCCTTACACCGCAGACATTTTGTTCGGAGAGCTCGGAAGCGATCTCTTCTTCAGAACATACAGAAGGTCGAATTCTGAGATTACAACCCCGACAATAGTTCAGTGACTTATGTGGTGTTACAGTGACATTCGCTTGCCCAAGTTTAGTTATCTGAAGTAAAGAAGCAGACTGGGTGGCTGAGGTTGTATCAATAAGCAGTCTCCGGAGCGGAGACGCTTTATATTTCTCGGCTCACCATTACAAGAACTGGATGTATTTATTTATTACGAAAGGAGACATCTTATGCATTTCGCCAGAAGGACTAGAGATGACTAGGAAACGGGGAATTGTTATGATTTTTTTCATTTGTATCTGTACGTAATTTTTTTGCAGTAGACTTTTCAGAAGTAGGTGAGTGAGAGGTTGAGTGAGTGGTTGAGTGAGTGGTTTAGCAGTAGACGTTTCAGAAATAGGTTGAATGACTGGTTTAACAGTAGATGTTTCAGAACTAGGTTGAGTGACTGGTTTAGGAGTAGAAGTTTCAGAACTAGGTTGAGTGACAGAGTGATTTGAGTGACTTGAGTGACAGGATTGACTTGAGTGACTGGAGTGACTTCGAAATCTTTAATTAAATAAATGTGAGGGTTGGCTATATTGAAAAAAGAAAAGATTCGTTTCCGACGGCCCCGCCCGCCACGGAGCCCAACAAGGGAACACAGATTCCTGTGTTAGGGCTAGCCGGACCTATACGCAAACTGAAGCCCCACAGTCGGCTTTCCCGAAAGCAGGTACTCCGAGATCTTATCCCCAAGCCACTAACACAAGGAATAGTGACCAGCCGATTGACACCCGTGAGGACGACTAAGCTGCCTCCCGTTTAGCTGAAGCAGAGGCCAAAGCAGTGTGTTGGGGACAGTACCTCGCCCCTCAACTACCAGGACCCTCCTTTCCAGCGACACGGGTCTCCACGCACGGCAAACACGTGGGCAGTTTTCTCGCCACTCGAAAACTAGAAACAAGGTCTGTTCCAGCCTCTCGTGACGAGCCCCAAACTCCGTAGAGAGAAACCACAAGGGAGAAGGGAAGGGAAAAAGTTCCAGCCAAGAGGAGAGGAGACGGAAAAGAGGACAGATCACTGGGGCTCCAGGATCGTGACACCCGTCTCATCAAGAAGATGATCCCCTGAAGGGCTAGGGTACCTCGGGATTGCCACACCCGTACTCACAAAAGTGAGCCCGAGGGGGTTTTTCAGCAGAGAAGCGCAAAGTTCTCCTAATCGTGGACAATTGTACTGCACACATGGAAGTCTCTGGGCTTCAGGCAATCCGTGTGGAATATCTCCCACCAAATGCAACTGCAGTTTTACAGCCAATGGATCAGGGGATAATCAGTAGTTTCAAGCGAAAATATAAGACAGTGCTCTTGCAAAGAGTAATCCTTGGCTTGGAAAGGGAACAACCTTATCAGACTGATATTCTTGGTGCAATGCATTTATCAATCAGTGCATGGAATGATGTTTTAGATGAAACAATTTCTAAAGCCTTTCGACATGCAGGTTTTATTAAAGAAACAGACGTAACTGAAGAAATCCATGACAATAGATCTCACGACGAAGATGAGGTTCTCATGCATGAACTTTGCCGTAGAAATCCACAGTTGCCAGAACTTTCATTCAAGGATTTTTTAAATGTGGATTCTAATGTCATCTGCACGGAGGAAATATCGGATCACGATATTATTAGCAGCATAATCAACGAGAATGAGAGACTTTCAGATCCAGAAGAAGAAAATGAAGTAACACCAAGACCTACTTTAAAACAAGCTACTGAATACTTGTCAGAACTTAGACGATTTTTTGAGGCCAGTGATAATTGTGAAATGCTAACAAATATAGAGAAGATGGAGTCTTGCATTGTACAATCTGTTGTTTTAAAACAGACAAAGATAAGAGATTATTTTGTTGCTCAATGACTTAATAAAGGTATGTTTTACAAATATTTTATATTTGTTTGTTTAATAGAATGGATATCATTTATTAAGTAGTAATACCATTAAAATAATTCCTAATACATAAAAGCATGGAATAGTATCACTAACCTGTCTCGAAAACATTAAAGTGTGAAATCCTAACAATTTCCGATGCCTTTCTAAATTACGAACTCTCGATTTAATGAACTGTTTTCGTAGTCCCTACGAGTTCGTAAAAACGAGCGTCTACTGTAACAGTAGAAATAAATGTTGCAAAAAATAATCATGCCAAATCTACACCAAATACTGTTAGTAATGACTGGACAGTACCTTGCAAAACTCGTAAAAGGAATTTTAGTGAGGACAGCAATATCTGTATGGCTTCGGACAAAAATAGATTCATACACCTGTCAGATGATGGCAAGATGGATACAAACATCATGTATTCACAGGAAGTAGGTTTCATAAAACACTATAAAACTGCCAAAAGCATTCCTTCAATTATAATCTCCGATGTCACTGAGTGGAAACCACTTCGAGACGAGATAAAAAAGCTTACCCAAAATATGGAGTGCGACTACAAAGGAGGTGATATACACATTACAATAAAAGATTCAAAAGATTACCAAAAAAATTTCTTGACGATAGGACAATACCTTATCATATGTTCCCACTTCCATAAGAAAAACCAATATGTGCAGTAATTAAAAACGGTACAACTCTGATAAACGCCCTAATTTCACCCAACGTGGCGATATGTGTTTTGCACTGGTTTTTGGCGCGATTGCGTGTCGTATGGCAACCATATCGACGTTGAAAAGTCTTTTGATGGAGTAGTTTAAATTGCTAGTTGGTTCGTGTCGCATGTGTTTTTGAAATGGCCTATGTTGCGATGAAACACGTGGTGGGAAGGTTTCAGCCACGTATTTTAGATTGTGTGCAGAGTAAATTTAGTATGAAAAGGTACGATGTTGGAGTTGTTAACGAGTCTTTTGTTCACGGATGTATTTATGGGGATCGTAGTGTATTTTTGGAATTTCTGTGGGAGTCGGGACTTTTAAAACAGAGTTTGACGTGTCCAAAATGCGGAGCTGATATGAGAACTCGGACGAAAAAAGGTGTTTCTGATAGACTTGTATGGGTTTGCAGTAAAATTGTTGCTAATAAAGTATGTGAGTGTCAGCGGAGTTTAAGGTTTGGATCTTGGTTTTCGTGTAGCAAGTTAACGTTGGAGGAAGTTTTTATTGTTACTTTCAAAATTTTGAATCGTAGGAAGGCATGTGATATAGCAAAATCGTGGAAGTTTTCTTCACAGACGTTGTGCGACTGGCGAAATTTTATTAACGAATGTATTTTGGACTTTGTATGCTCTGTATCTGAGAAGATAGGGGGAAAGATATTTCTGCTTTTAAAAGAAGCTTTCGTTATAGTAAGTGCATTTTATTTTATTGTTTTTATTTTGTAGAATGTTATATTCATTGTTTTTTGTATGAATTTCCGTTTTTATTGTTGTTTTTTGGATTGTCTGAAATTTATTTTAGTTTATTTTCTTGATTTATTTTTAGTGTAGATTGTGCAATTCGTAGATGTTTTTTAAAGTTGAAACAGAACGCTGTGTACATGGTATTCTTTGAAATTTATTGTTGTTATGTTAATTTATTAAAGCTTGGTGTGCGTAGTTCGTAGATTCGTTCGTTGCCTACAGTGTGCCATTCGTAGATGTTTTTTTAAGTTAAAACATGTCGCTGTGTACATGGATTGTTGTCAAATATTTTTGGTTAGAAACTTTACTTTTTGCTATCTAAATTTTTTGTTTTTGTTTCGAATTTTTAGCTTAAATCGTGTGTTCAAAACGTAGTTTTTGCATGTGCGAAAATCGTGTTTTTGAAGACATTTTAGCATTAAAGTTCGAAATGTAGACAAAAAATTTAGATAGTACGAGTAATATGGCAGTGTGAAGTTTCTCGCCAAAAATATTTGGCGACTTGAGGGCACATATCAGAGTAGTTCCTAAAAAACTGCCAATCCACACAAAACCGGAGAACATAATTAAAGAATTAAAAGATGTGGCGTTGGTAGTAGATTTATGGCGCAAAGCTATAAAAGGCCAGATGCGTTAAACACAGGATTCGTTCTTCAACACAAAAACTAAAGTAAAAATTTTAGATAAAGAAAATTGTCTAAAGATAACAGCTCACTTATAAAATCGAGGTAAGTAAAAAGATATTGAAATGATGGGATGAAAATGCTGATTATGATTCAGATAATGAGATATGCAGTATAGATATAAAATCCTAAAACATCCGATTCATTAAAATTCTAACACAAAATCTTGAGACAAAAATCAAACTAAATAATAGAAACCTCTTTCTTTCTGGTAGTAAAACAAACTGGTATTGACCTCTCTTCCGATTAAACGGTCGTGAGGCAGGTCGCAGCTTTAAAATACTTCTCACGAAGACTATTAAAATACGGACACTCAATTAAAATGTGATGGACCGAGAGACAAGCATCACAATTTGCAAACAGGCTCGTTCTCAGCTTTCAGAAGGTAGTTATGTGTCACTCTAGTGTGACCAATTCTAAGGAGAATCAAAAGTACTTCCTCCTTACGATTGCTAGTAGTATCCCAATGCTCTATTTTAGGCCATTCACCCTTCTCAACTTGTTATGGAGTTGAATGTCCCAAAGTTGCCATTTTATTCTGATCTTCTCTATAATGACACAACAGATATTTCTAAAAGGGATGAGGCGGCCGGACATTTCTACAGCAGATTTCACTGTGATGTCCGCCAGCTCATTGCCTTTTATTCCTGTATGTCGTCCAGAAACCCAGCAGTACAGAATTTTATATCCACAACTTGTTAATTTAATATTGAACTTGAGTACATCCACTATCGCAGGATTCTTGGTGCTAGAAAAGGATTCTAAAGCTTTCAATGCACTGTAGGAGTCTGTACATATGATTTTTCCATGGTGCAGCATGGAGATGTACAAAAGCGCATAATATATGGCAGTCATATAGTCATTACTGTGTCTTAATATGGCAGTCAGTTCGGAAGTTAAGACCGAGGAAGCATTGTGTGAACATCTGCCCTCCATGTGGTCACCAATTATAAATGACATCCGAACATGACAAGCTGACTTAGATCCATCCGTATACATAGAAAGATAACTGCTGTAACAATGCCTGTGCTCATCAAAAATTGTCTGTAGATGCTCTCATTAGTAGTTGTTTTGACGTAACTGTGGATAATATCAAGAAATTGGATTTGTGCATTTTCCCAAGGTGCGATTTCAAAATCCTGTACTGCTTGTGGGGACATATCAGACAGGGACAATTCTTCAATAAGGATACGAAGTCTCGCAGGAAAAGAAGGCACACAGGATGGACATGCCTCAAATAAAACGTCCCATCTATTTTTAAGTAAACACAATTTATCAGGATGGTCAGGTTGAGATAAAATATTAAAATACTGTAAAAGAGGCAACTCCTCACGCCTCAAACGGAGTGATGGTTCATAACAGTCAACATAAAGGCTCTGGACAGGAGACATCCTGAAGACTCCAGAACAAATCTGCAGAGCCTGATGATGAAAAGGATCTAGTTTTTACAACACTGAAGACCGAGCGGATCTGCCAACAGCCGAGCCGTAGTCTAGTCTTGAGTGAACAAGAGCTGTGTAAATACGAAGCATGGATCAACACTCTGCACCCCAGGAGGTGTTTGACAGGACTTTTAAATATTTAAAATTTTTGTACACTTCTTTCTCAAGTTTAGGACATGAGGAAGGAAAGTCAATTTTTGGTCGAACATCACCCCTAAAAATTTTACTTCAGATGCTACTGGAATCACAGACCCATTAAGTATAATTAGGCTCAGGATGGAGACTCAGGAGGTGTTTGACAGGACTTTTAAATATTTAAAATTTTTGTACACTTCTTTCTCAAGTTTAGGACATGAGGAAGGAAAGTCAATTTTTGGTCGAACATCACCCCTAAAAATTTTACTTCAGATGCTACTGGAATCACAGACCCATTAAGGTATAATTTAGGCTCAGGATGGAGACCTCGCTTTGTACAAAAGTGCACGGACACAGTCTTCTGTTTTGAAAACGTAAATCCTTGTGTGTTCGCCCATTCCTGGATCTGGAGCTGCCTCTCTACACGTCTCATATTCCTGCCTCGACAGCTAATTTGTAGATCATCAACATATAAAGATCTGAAATGGTGGGAGGAAGTTGTTTTTATACAGAATTTATTTTTAGGCTTAACAGAGTTACACCAAGCACACAGCCTTGAGGCACACCCTCTTCCTGTTTGAAAACTTCTGACTTGAAAAATTCTAGCTACCCAAAAAATTCTGAATGAAAAATGGTAGGTTGCCAGGCGAGCCACAATCATAAAGATCCTGAAGTGTACTGTATCCCAAAAAAGATTACAACAGAAATTCAATTTAATGAAGTTCACTGAAGAATACTTTTCAATACAATAGCACTGTGGATACTGTCAATGAAGGTAAGCGATGTACATTTGAGACAATAAAGCAGCTTTAAACTGGATTTGAAAGACATTTCATTTCATTTGACTAAAAACATATCCATACTGCTCCATTTATTACTTCCTTAGATCCAGTGTTCACTTTTGTATTCGCATGAGGTGTTTCAAGCATTTATGTTTCAAACATACATTGTTTTGTTATAAGTGTCCCAAGTAAGGGGGTTCATTTCCCTATATTTCAATTTAATACTCAGAAAATGTTCAATTTTTGAAGTATTTACCATCTTTATAAATACTGAGCTTTCTTTCACAGTTTTACATAAATACTTTCAAAAGACAAGAAACTTCAAATTCTTCACACGATTTTGCTTCAATGTAAATTTTCTAAGCGCAAACCACTATCAGAATAGATATTTAGAACCTGGCATATATCAGTTTTTTTTAATTGAACATATTTCTGATCCTACAAAAACATTTTCACGACCATATCATGCAGCAGTAACACAATTCGATTCAACCACATTTTCAAAATCCAGGAATATTTACACACATAGGGCATAGTCTCGCGAGTTTAATCCAAGTAGTACTCAAAATAATCACAAGATTAGGCGAACTGTGGGTCACCTGTGTAGGCGCCTAGGCTTTGTAGAATTACCCTGCGTCGAGCTTGCTGTAAAAGATAACCATAGCATGACACGTGAAAATTGCTATCCGGGAGAAACACAGGTCAAAAGTATGTAATACGATAAACATTTCACAAACTTCAAGTGTACCAACGGAGGTAACAATAACAAAAAAATGGTTACAATCATCCACGCCGCTCTTCCCCGGCTGTGTCTACCCGTACGACGTCGGACGTTTAGCTGAAACATGGTAAAAATGCTAAACGTACGACTAGTTGCGCAGAGACACTTTCGTGATTTCTGCGCATTCCGACCAGTCGTAAAGAGATGTTTGTTTATATTTGTGTTGATTATCGGAAGGGTGAATTGCTTTTCCGTGTAGTGCTAGAATATCAAGAAAAAGTTATTTTTTATTTCGTTTGATGACTAATTACTATCATTCTTTGATAGATATCTAAAACATTATATAAAATAAAGAACTTTGAATATATCTGAATATTATTCTTGTTTTAAATTGCTAATGTTTGATCATTTTATACTGATGCGGAGTTTACACAAATAATCAAAATTTCTTGAAATTCTTATCAACAGATTTAAATAAATCATGCATGCAAGCAGTAAAATCACATTCTTACGAAACGAAATTGAAAAATCGTCTTAAAACCTTGTGTAATTTTTCTGTCATGCGTAGCTAAATATTTCTATAAAATTGCATACAGAAGCATTTATATACATAAAGAGTGTGTTCAGGAGATTAATTCAGAAATGTATGTGCATATGCTTGTATGTACCGATGTAGGTGTTCATGTAGCATATGTATATGTGTGTACATACGTTTGTGTGTGTGTGCACAGATATACATGCATACATACATTTTTGAGTCTGGTCTCGAAAAATGTCTTGCTGAAAAAGAATGTAAACAAACCACCCAGCTCCTTAAAAAAAAAGTTTAGAAATTTTTTATCATAATTTTGGTTTCTACAGCAAACTTTTGTGTGTGGTTTGTTTTAAACTCTTAGAAGAACTCAAATTTTAATATAAAGACGTGAAAATTTTTTACCTTTTGATAGTGTACCTGATGATTTATTAAAAACACAATTGACTCTCTTATATTTAATATTGAAAAGAAGGAGGGGGATATGTACAAAATTATAATAAAGATAATTCTAAGGTATTTTTTATAAATATATGTGACTTCTGAATATAGAAAATAATCGCTTACAAATGACTTATGCAGTATTTGTTTTATTATCATATCCTGCCCTCATAAGCTCAAAAATAAAACTTTATACAGGAAAGTCATTTTACCTCCAAATATATTTTATGGTATTGAAGTATGATAACAGATGATTATTTTTGTTAGAAAAATTATAATGTTATGAAATGAATATTTTCCTGAAGATAATTATACATTATATTCAAGCATATTTATATATTAATATATATATATTATATTCAAGTAATAGATGACATATTTATATATTCTATTTAAAAATAAATGGCAGCACTATGTCTTGTCATTAACTTTATCAAAAGAACTTATAGGTTTAAAGCACCTAATTTCTAGTATAAGAACTGTACTTCAAATGTCCTTTTCTTTTCCCTTTCCCTTTTTTTTTTTTTTTTTTTTCCTGTAAGAGTTTTTGCTTTATACTATTTACAGATGTGACATCTAAAAATGCTTGGCCTTTTTTATCCAAATATCTAAATATGGAAGTCTGAAATAATGCAATATATTTGTATGTATATAGAGTAAAATATTAGTAAATTCTACATAAGTACATTATTATTCTAAGATAATGTATTTAAAAATATTCAGTTTAATGCAAATATGTGAATCAATTTATACATATAAATTTTAAGTGTATGACTTCTGTTGGATGTTTTAAGTAAACAATCAAAAAAATTAACCTTTTTATCAACTTATCTTGCACATATATACATTATTACTTTTTTTTCCTATAAGAATAAACTTAATCTAATATAATAATCTAAAAATAAATAATACACAACATCTATTAAGGCAGACCATTTTTAGTACAGTAACAAATAATACAAGCAATATAATTTAATACTTTCAGTTGTCAGAGAATGAAGTGAGTTTTGTGAAGCTATTTAATGAAAAAATCTGAAAACAATTTTTGATGGTTCTAAAATACAAGTTCTAAAAGAATTAAAATATGTACATGAGATAAATGCCGCTCTTTTTGTTTTAACCCCTTTGAATAAATTTTAACCAATTTGATACTTTTTTTACTTCTTTTCAAAACCTTGAAATACATGAGAAACTGATTTCAGGACCAACACATTTCAAGAAATATTGCTAACTGCAATGAATCAGCACACATGTATGACTTCATCAGAACCATCAGAATGTCTTGTATTACCTTTATTTATTTATTTAAAGTTACTAATGGATTTATATGTAGAAGAGCTGAGATTTCTAATACAGTTACCACACTGGCATTTTTAATGATCTTTTCACTAATGATTTAAAATCTCTCTATATTTTTTTATTATTATTCAAATGAAAAGTTTTTGTTCATTTGTTTCCAAAATAACAGCTACTTCCTTAGTTCAATTATTATTTTTCTTAACTGGTTTGTCTGGTGAACTCCTGTGATTTTTTTTTTTTTTTTTTTTTTTTTTTTTTTTTTTTTTTTTTTTTTTTGTGAATACATTTATTCTGTAATTTGTTGTTTTCAGTAGTTTTTTAATTTCTCTTTTGAAAAGTTTTCTGCATTTTAACTTAATAGCCTTGAAACTTATGATCAACATTCAAAATCTAACTTCCATTTTAAATTTCAATGTTTACCTGGATTCATAACAAGTGTATTATTTTTAAATTATTCAGACAACTTAAGAGCTCTGTGTGTCTTACATCTTCATAATGGTAGAAAATTTCATTGTACAGCCTATGTACATTTTAGTTTTGTCATGTCATGCCATTTGTGAAATATTCCTTCTTCTCTCTGCTTAATTTTATTCCATATATAGAGATATTCAGTAAGTTTAAGCATAATAAATTTGTAGAAGATAAATGTCTAAAATTCCATTTTCAGTTTCCTATGTAGACTTTTAATTTGCATTTAGTACAGCAATCAATTACGCATTGAATTCCAATATAAAAATATTTTTTATCACAGCCTTCAGATCATTCCTGAACATCATTCAAATCATCATCAGACTGCAGTATGAAATATACAAATACTTCTTCTGTTTTTGAAACAAAAAAGATCATTTGATGACAAGGTCTAGTGAACATTGTGCATAGGGTATAAGCTGAAATTATCATTCCTGGAACAGCAATCTGGCAAATTTTAGTCTTGTGTGCTGCAGCGTTTTTATGCATAGCGGAATTTTTACTGCTGAGTTTGCTACACAGTTTTATAGTTAATAGGAATTGTATTGGATTATTACGTCAAAAAAATGTGAGAACTATCTGTCTAAGAGAAGATATGCCTTTTCAAAGGAACAATATAAGGAAAACTGGCTCTGATTCACTTTATACATGAGGAAAACAGCAAAATCTCCTCTGGAGCCAGCCTATTCGTCAAGATAAAACTCTGAGCGAATTACTAGCATTCAGCGGATTTACCTCTCGGCCGCTGGTGGGCCTAGTACAAGTTGAGTCAACAGGTTAGCGTAATAAACACCTTTTATCATGATATTATGTGACCTATAATCTATAAGCAATGCTCTTCATAAAAAATGTTAATTCTGTTTGCTTTCTGGATTCTGAACTTAGCTCTTGTTTATCTATTCTCTTGTTTTGAGATCTGCTCATCAAAACAGAGCAGCAGGTCAATTAAAGAAGGATATGCATGCAGTGCAATCATCTTCAGTACGATCTCAAGTCATAGTCACGTCTTTAATCCACCTAAAATCCAGTCCCAGTACTTTTCACTCTTTGAGCAAAAGTATAATTCCTGTTGGAGTCTAAATTAAGATGAGCTCCGGTATTTCAATTTTCTACTGAACTATTTTCATTAATTAAATTGAATTATCTAATTTTTATTTATTAATTTACATTTTTTATTTTTTCTTTATTTTTATCTTTGTTGACGACCTTTCATAGTCCTTCTTCTTTTAGAAATTAAGTACTGACCACAATGCATTGAGGCATAAAATTGAACAGGCACTCGTATAATCCTATGGCAAACATTCCACACTTGCTAGATAATGTGTTTCACATTGAGGACATCGAAGCACTGAGCCTACGCAGGCCAGATAGAGCTTAAGTCACATTATTTTGATCACTGCAAAGCACGCAAGGGCTTTCTGCCTAAGAACAGGGATGCTTTTGTGGAGCACTTTTTAAAGGTTCGATTTGGTTTGTTTGATTTTAGAAAAGCACTTGAGGGCTATTTGTCTAAGAAGAGCAAAGATTCTTGATGGCTTCATGATGGACTTTTCGAAGAAAACTAGCTGGCATTCACATTGCGCAAGAGAAAACATCAAAAACTCCCATGCGACCAGTCCGTTCGCTGGAATTTCAAACCAGTCGAACTAACAGTATTCACCAAATTTACTGGTAGGTTTATACTCAACAAGGGACATATTTTTTGGAGCAGGTAGGTTGTGTAAGTGTCAGTAAATGACGTAGCCAGTCTTGGGCAATAAGCTATGAGTGGCGTTCTTTATCCTACTGAAATATCGTGCTTGGATTCTTTGTCAGGTATTGGTGTATATTGGTTGAGACAGATAGATTTTCGCATGTTATGTCTCATGTGCAAGCAGTAATTAGAATGGTGCAAAGCATAGTATAACATCGTCAACGTATTAGACAGTGAGAAATGTGACAACACTGACTAAGAAAGGAATGCAAAAGATACAAAAGCAGATTCGAAATACATCTGTATTCTACTCAAATCAGAAGGTGAATGCCCATATGATAAGGGTAACACAAACGCAATTATCACTAGGGGATATAATCCTACTTAATTGTGATGCAGTCTCTCTACTGTATATTCATGCTCTGTACGAGATCGTCCACGAATTTCTGAGAAATTATGTTCAATTCTTCTTGCAGGGCTGATTACAGCTATGAAAGCATTGAAAGGCACTAGCGACGGGCTGTCAAAAGTCCCCAGACCATACACCATATATTAAGTTGGAGCATACGACAGCCTTCAGAATGCCTACGCTAAGACAGGTGCTATATCTTCACTCCTTAACAAGCTAGCGACAGTTGGTATACCATGAAGTGTAGCACTATTGTTCGCGAAGAATCTTGGAAAAGATGCACGTGAGGAGAAGAACATTAGCACAACTGCAGTCAGTAGTGAATTAATCTTCTTCAGATGTATGGAGCTTCATATAGCGACCAAGCATTTCACTTCCACAAACGAAAATTTGAGCACTTGCAAACTGTTTCCTTTCGATGATCTTAGAGGGACGACTGCGTAATCTCTGCTTTATCTAGATATTTAGACTTCCAGAATGGCTAGATAATCTAAATATCGGAAGATTAAAGCTGTTATCTTATTCTTGAAC